TTATTTATAAAAACTAATACAGAGAGAGAGAGAGAGAGAGAGAGAGAGAAACTTATTTTTAATAGATTATTTAAAAGTAAACAGATTATATTTAAGGTAAAATAATATAGTCTGAGTTTAAAAAAAAATATTTAAGATAATTTTTATTATATTCGATCTGCTTAATTGTACAAGAAATTTAATTTTTATGAGGCTGTTATTAATATCGAACAGTATTTTAGTTTAATGTATTTTTTTTTTTTTTAGATAATAGCTATATTCTTTATATATCTTTTTTTTTTAAAAAAAAAACAAAAAATATCTTTATTACGAGCTTTATATCATTTTTTTTATAAACTAATATATATATATATATATATATTTTATTATGAAAATTTTGTCATTTTATTCTAACTTAAGTTTTAAATTAATTACCCTTATTATTTTCAAATGAATTCTTATCGTTATCAATACAGGAGGGAATATTTACATCATGGCATTCTTCATTTTCATCACAATCATTTTTAAATAATTCTTTTCTTTTAAAAAGTTTAAATATTTTTTTCATGTATTTTATTTCTCTGAAATGGTTTTAAATTTTAATTTAATTTTCATTTAATTTGTGCACACTAAATAAAAAAAAAACTAATTTTTTATTTAATATTACTTAATCATTGTCTGTGTAATTTTTAATTTTGGATTACATTTTAAGGGTGCTTTTCCATTTCCAATCTAAAAAATATTTTTAGCTCTCATAAAAATTTTTTGCAGTTTGTTGTTTAATAAATTTTATGTTAACTAAATACGTACATCACAAAAAAAATGATTTTTTCAATACGATTAACAATTTTTTATTGTAAATTTTCTTACCTCTATACTTCGTCTTAAAGCATCATCTGATAATCCGGCAGTTTTTGCGGCTAATAATGTCAAACTTAAACCGGAAACTCCATTTTTAACTTTGTATAAATAAATAATTTCTTCGTTTTCAATTAAATAATCCATACACTGAAAAAATTATTTTTATTATTAATACTTCTCACGAATAATTTTTATTTAATGAAATACAAAAATAACCTGTAAATCTACTAGAGGACTCGGTGGCAACAATTTTGGTAAACTGTGAAAATGCGTACTAACTAAAATATATGGACACTTGCTTTCTCTTTCTAAAAAATGAATCAAACTTGCTGCAAGCAATGACAAACCATCAATTTCGGTTGTACCTTTTCCAAATTCGTCAATAACGATCAATGATTTTGGCGTTGAGTTGTATATGGAATACGTCATCTGTAATAATTATTCTTTTGCTCTTCGAAATGTTAATTTTTTAATAATCGAATTTTTTTTTTTACCTGTTTTAAATCTACCAAAAATCCTGACATTCTAGTCGATATACTTTCTAGGGTTTGAATGCGAGAATGTATGTAATCAAAAATACAAATTTGAGCACTCTGAGCAGGTACAAAACTTCCGATATGTGCCAAAAATGTTATTAATGCTGTTTGTTTTAAATAAACGCTTTTACCACTGGCATTTGGACCTGTAAAAAAAAAAAAAAAAAAAAAAAAAATGGCGATTTCTAAAATAAATGATGTGAAATTATTATATCGAATTCACCTGTTAAAATTTTAATAAATTTATTTTCGGTATCAAATGAAAGATCGTTAGGTACAAAATTATCAACACATATTTCTTGCAAAGGATGTCTTCCGTTGATAATTTTTAATTTTCTATCTAATGTCAATTCTGGTCTGTGATAATTATTTTCCAATGCTATGGTGGCAAATGCAATGACACTATTTAAAAAAAAAAAAAAAAGGTTTTATTGTCTGGGACCCAATCGTGGTCTGCAAAATTTTTTTTTCCCGAAAAATTTTTTTTTACCAATCAAGCTCTGAAATGTACTTCAACAAAATTAATATATCGGAAGTTTTTGATTGAATTAATTGAATTAAAGTAATCATAATTTTTGACTCTAAATCGGAAATGGATGCTACGGTATCACCTAAAACGTTGTCCAGTTCTGAAATTTAATTCAAAAATAACGTTATTACTAATTAATTAAACAATATATTTTTTTAAAATAATAATAATATTTACGTGATGTCTTTATAATTATGATTTTCCTTTTTTAAGTTTAGTATAAGTAATTTTTGATCTTTTACACTTACCTACACAGTGTGGAGTTTTATAATGAACATAATTATTAACAATAAACTAAAAAAAAAAAAAAAAAAGAAACTGAATTAGCATGTTTTAAAATGAAAATAAAGTAAAATCAATTTATAACGATAATAACTTTAACATCACAGTTTGGAAGTGTGTATTCTGATACGTCACAACCATCACCTTTCCACACAGGTACAGATAGAAGATATCCTAATTCAGTTATATAGATAATAGAACATTGATTTATGATGGTGGGTAGGTTTTCAAGTTCCATTTCAGCAACCTTAACCAAAACATCAGGAATTTCCGCATAAGTTTGTTTTACTGAAAAAAAATTTTTTTTTTTTTTTTTATTTATATTTATACATCCATTGAAATTTTTTTCAAATAAATAAAAAAAATTTACGTAAATCAAGTTTATTGTCAATTCCTCTACGAACGGTAAAATGATTTTTTAAAATACTTTCTTCAAAATCTATAACTTGACTCATGTAATGAATTACTTCGTGAATATTGGAAGTAACACTTTTTGCCACCTAAAACAGTATTAAACATAAATTTAAATACAAAACCTAAATTTTATCTTAATATTGTTTTATTATTTATAATATTTTCTAAAGGAAATATTTACTTTTTCTAAAAGTTTTGAATGAGAAGTAAATTTTTCACATATTTCTCCAACCAATATTGCATTATATAAAGAAGTATAAAGTGATCTCCATTGATTTATGTTCATTCGAGTTCTACACATATTTGCTAAAATTATCTTTTTTTTTTTAAAAAAAAATTAATTAATATATTAAAAAATTATAAATTAAAAAAAAAATGATTGAATTATAAAAACTTACTGAAATATTTTCAACCTTTTTCATGTGATTAATTATATTTTGAACAATATGTTGATGCTTTGACTTAAAGCAAAACTCAACCGCATCTAAACGTTCGTTAAGCTCTTCGATATTTTTACTCGGGTTCATAAAAATTTCTCTCATTTTTTTACCTCCGGCTTTTGTTTTGCATCTGTTAAATAATCCGAATAAACTAAAATCTTCCCTACCATATCCTCCCACGGTGTTCCTTTTAAAAGCTGAAGGATGAACTGAGGGGTTGAAAATTTGTAGAGCTCTATATGTATGCTCATCAATAAATACTCTTGTATTTCTAAAAAAATTTAGATTTAGACATATTATTAAAATTTGTAATTTTTTAAAGAAAAAATTCAAAAAAAAAAAAAAAAAATTTCACCCACAATGTTATATAACTGACATATGCAATTTGAAATGAATCGTGAGTTAAATTAATTTCCGGTAAATATTTTTCCAAATATTTTATCAATATTCCCATACTTATAATCATGGCTTCCTGATTTAAATCAATATGTGATTGAATGAATAAAATATGATCTTCTTCTCCAAGGTTAGAAGGTTCAAATCCAAATTTTAAACCTGAAATGTATCTTTTGCAAGATTCGTAACCTGTAAATGAAACGGTGAATTAAAATTTATTTTATTTATAAAAATTCATTTTACACTCTTAAATACAGTTCATACTCAAATCTTTATTTCTGTTAGACATAAAAAAAATTTTTTTCCATTCTTCGATTCCATTTTCTGATTCTGAATTTTTATTTGCAATATTATTAAGACATTCCGTGAAGGATTCTGACGCTCCACCGCAGGTAATAATTATACTATAAAAATTTTATTAGCACGATACAATTCGTAAATATTATTTTTATTTGAGGAAAATAAATAAAAAACAATAACCTTGGATTTACTTGAGAAATTAACGTTTTTAAATTAATAAAATCCGGATGAACATCAACGATATCATTGAGTAAGTGTATCTAAAAATAATATAAAATTTATTAATAATATTAAAAAGTTTAATACCTTAGAACTATAATAATAATAATGATAATATTCAAAACCTCCGCATCTGCATGTGTGTAATAAGCAGCTCCCAATTTGCCTCGTTTCCAAAAAACAGATAATAATACATCTAAATTATCTTCTGCATAATCTTCGTTAACCTCGTCATTATAATTTAAACTCAAACATTTTAAAAAAGATGAATTATTATTATAAATACTATCGAAAAATGATTTTTTCTTTTCGTTATTATCGTTTTTATTTATTAATCCGATATTTTCATTTTCAGAACACTCAGAAGAACTTTCACAATTGTTTAAAACGATACTTGGCGATTCCATTTTTCAAAAATTTAAATGTAACGAACTTTGAAAAATTAAATTTAACGATTGCCAACTTAAAATTTCAAAAAAAAAATTTGTCGCCAAAGTGAAATACAATCGACGTAAAGTACAAAGTACTTAAAGTGCAAAGTTGTCGTGGCATTTGAAATCCGCGAAAACTTTTAATTATTTATTAAATTTACATAAATAATCCAATTTAAAAAAAGAAAACTTTTTAATTAAAGTCATTTTTAATTATTTAAAAAGTTATGGAAAGGAAAAATCATTAAAAGAAAATTGTTTTGAAAATTTTTACATAATAAAATTATTACAACAAGTTAATTCTTTTTTTTTTAGTTGATAATAAAACGATATATATATTAATAAAATTTATAAAAAGCTTTATTATTAACAATAACACACTTTATGTATTTATTATTATTAATTATTTTATAATTTTTTTTTTGTTTAGTTACAGAGAAATGTAAAAAACATTTATTATTATTATTTTTTTTAGCACCAACAAACAATTTTTTTAATTAAAGTAATAATCATTTTTTTAAATTTATATAATAAATTCAGTTTTGTCAACAAAAAAAAAAAATGGCAGAAAAATAAACTGATATAAATAGTAATCAATATAATAAATGATTCTTTAAATAAAAATAAAACGTTTGTAAATATTTTTATCTAATATCTAATTGACAGTTTGAGCAAGTTTACTGGCCGGATTAAAATTTATCGGACGATATGATTTTTCTCTTTTTTTAAAAGGTTGTAGAGAAGGCAAACCCAAACGTAGCAACATGTCATCGTTATTTTTATTATTCTCCAAACACTAAAAATAAAAATGAAAATTTATTACGATGCAAATACAAAAGGAATAATAATGATAAAAAATTCTAAAAGGAAAAAAGAAAAAAGGAAGTGAAAATCACCGTTTTCATTAAATTTCGTTCCATTGTCAAACCTTTGTGACTGTTAAAAGTGCTGTGATAATCAGTATTATTATTATTATTATTATTATTTGTTAATTTTATTTCCAAATCTGTTAGGGATTTATAACTCGTCAATTGATTTTCGTTAACATCTCGATAATTATCATTATTTTCACGTATTGTTGACCTGTCCGGACTTAACGATCTACTTTTTTCACAAACGTCAATTTTAACTGGACTATTCGATCGACTTCTCGGAGGAGTTGGAAAACCATCAACAAAACCTTTTACTCCAGGACTCGGCGATCTACTCGAACTCTCTGAACTAACAGATCTAAATAATAATAAAAAAAAAAAATATATAGGTATTTCGTCACGTGACAAAACCGTTATAATTTATTTGTACGATAAATTACAAATATTAAAAATTGAAATTTTTTTACTAAACCCACCTTTTTGATTAAATTGTACCTTGTTGGAGTTGAATTTTTCTTATCTAACTGAACGTTGAATGTATTTTATTTATTCATTCATTCATTCATTGACTAGAATTGATTAAAGCCTCAAGCCATTTTTTTCTTTTAGTACTAATTAGAACCTGTATGAACCGTAATTTATTTAGTAAAACCTCAACCAAATATTATTATTATCCTTAGTTTTTATTTATATTTCTAAATTATTCTTTACAATTAATCATATAATTATTATTAAAAATTTTCATTTTTATTGACATTTAGTGAATGAATTAGTGACTATTAGTTAAAAAAAAAAAAATGTGTGCAAAGCTGAGAGAAAAAAGTTAGTGTCGTGTTAGTAATTTTATTAAAAATGTAAAAATGTACAATACTTACTTAAAATATATTTTTTTTTTTGTAAGCAGAAAACCAAATAAGAATGAAAATAATAAAAAGCCTAACCTGTTTTACACGAAGAAAATAACAGAAATGTGTGTATGGCTGTGCATAAAGTAAAAACTCAACGAATACATACAAAAAAGTGGAAGTAAACGTGAGAGAGAGAGAGAGAGAGAAAAAAAGGTACGAAAAAAATTTTTTTTTTTGTACCTGCTTCTGTGAAGTGCGTTCAGCCTACGTGAAGTTATTAATTGAGAGGAAGCTGAGCGAACGTGAGATTGTGATAATTCAGAATCTGAACTGTTCAGCGACCTTCCGCCTCCTGTAGGCAATGTTCCATGTGCAAAATCCTTTCGATAATTGTCGGATGATGAATGTAAAAGTATTGGTGATGACGAATTATTACGACAATCATCTTTATATTGATTTTGTACTGAAATTTTTATTTTTAAATGGTTGTAAAAATTTTTTTTTATTTTATTTAAAAATCAATTGAAATTTTTTTTTTTAATTAAAAACAAACCGGATGAATTATTTGCTGCGGATACATAAACTGCTGTACTTTTTGGCATATCATAAACAACTCTCGGATGTTCCACAACAGATTTTCTATTGTTTTCCGGAGTTAAAATTTGAAGTTGTTCGTTGTATCTGGACATATAAAAACGAGTAAATAAAAATGGCGGACGTATTTGTTTATATATTAATTTATTAAAGTAATTTTTAATCACCTCGGATGGCGGTAATCTCTATATTCTCTCACTGGTTCACGATATTCTGACAAAATTTGAGTCGAAGAAGCAAATTTGTTCGAATCAGACGACGTTGAAATTTTTCTATTATTCGACGTAGATAATTTTTTCGAACCTGAATTTTGACTTGTCTGTGGGGATGACGTGCGAAATTTATCGGATGTCAACCTAACATTATCTTCGAATTCTCCAGGAGGAAGAGAAGAATAATCTTTTTCTTCTAAACTAAATAATCTAAGTTGATGTCTAATGTTTGCTTTTTCTCTTGCACGTTTTTTCTGAAATTCTTCTTCTACTTTTTTCATTGCTTCCACTTCGCTGAGTCTTTGGTTTTCTAAATTTTTTTTTTTTTTTGTATTAAATATCACGGATTTCTAATTACAATAATAATAATAATAATAATTTATTTTACCTTTCAATTCAGCTTCTCGTGACAATTTTTCAGCCAATCTTTTATTTTCTAACAATCTAACCGTACTTTGAAAAGTAAATTTTTTCTTTTTTTGATTTACCCTATTACTATTTGATTTTAATTTAACATCTTGATCTTCATCTTGATTCGTAACAGGAGATGGAGTTCTAGACCTTCTAGAATTTCTCATTTCTATTTGCATTATATTTTCACAAGATTTTGATAAAAATCCTCCGTTCATGTTCGACGTCGTTCGTCTTTTGTTCGAAACGTCCGGAGACATTCTCGAATGATATTCGGGTAAATACATCATTCTACCACCGTCGGCAAAATAAGAATAAGATGGATGCTTGATGGAATTCTGATGACCGCAATCGTCATCTTGCTCCGGTGACGAAGGATTACTTATACTTCTTGCGACAGCAACGTGACTATTATTCAAAGAACTTGGAACGCTTCTACTTAATACCCAATTATCATTTTGCAAATCACAGGTATCATTTCTTTTCGAAGACGCGCTTAGTGCCACTTTTAATTTTTGCAAACTATTAAGTCCGAATGTCGAATCTACCTGATTTCGATCCTTAAATTAACAAAAAAATGTAATTTATACCAAGGGTATTATTATTATGTTTAAAAAAAAAAAAATGTGATGAATGTAGTACCTTGTGATCGTTATTTTCTGGGTACAGGCACATTTTATTTTCTCTCGGTAGAGACATTGAAAATGAATGATCCCTAGATAAAAATAACTGACCCCGAGGGCTAAATTTGGCACCGGCAATTTGAGAAATTACATTCTTGGAAGAATTAATTGGAGATTCTAAATCATCCGAACTGGATTCTTCTTCTAAATCTTGTTGCGGTGTCCAAGCCATTAATAAATTCTTAAAAAAAAAAAAAGGATGCATGTTATTTTGCGAAATTAACATAAATATATATATATATATCGAGTGAAAATCAATCTCTCACCTTTGAACTCGATGTTGCCATCGGTTTGTTGGTTGTGGTAGCAACTTCCGACGAACTCTCGGGACACCCACCGGGACTTGCGTCACCGGATATACCAGAATCACCCGATTTATCATGGTTGCTTCGTAGAATTTGCTGAGACACGGGTAAATGAATTCGATCTTCGATCAAAACCGGAATATCATCACTTCCGCCCGGTGATGGAGCTTGAGGGCAAACCACATTTATAGACGAAAGAAGTCTCCAAGCCGACGTTGGAGAAAATCTTGGTATTTCCAATTGCTTTTTTGGTAGAGTTGGCCTAAGTTGTAAAGCAATTCCACCGTCAACCTTAATTAAAGAGAAAAAAAAAAAATTTCAAAACCGGTGTTTGTTTGTTTGTTTGTTTGTTGAGCAGAAATTTAAAAAAATGAATGTTACATTACACTTACATCTTCATCAGGATCACTTACGAAGCTGCTAGAACAAGAAGTTGTATTACCATTCGCCATGACAATTTGAGTTTTATGAAAGTTTGCTGTAAATTTATCGATGCTACTTTCCCAATCCTGACTACTTTCGCATGATTTATACAAATTCATCATGTTTTTACTTTTTTCAACTACGGTTATACGATGTTCTGCATTTGTTTTCTCCACGTTATTTGTACTTAAATAATTATTTACAGGTTTGATTTCGTTATTGTTTTCCTCCATTCCGAAATAAAATTTTTTCGACGGTACATCTCTTTCCGACTTTTCCTTCTTGTTCTCGTTATGTGACTGCACGTGTGATTTTTCAACGCAACTATCTGGCACGGAATTTTCCTTTCTCATCATCTCATCCTTATTGTAATTTTTTTTTTTAAATTTCACATCATTTTCTCCCGACTCTCTTTCTAATTCTCTCGTTGAAGTAAAAATATTTTCTTTTGGTTTTAAATAGCCTTTGGTAATATTTGTTTTATTCGCGTTAATTGGACTTTGCCTTTTTACATCTCTCAGAGGTCTTAATTTCTGAGCTGCTTCACGAAGTTCCGCCTTTAAAAATTTAATTAAATTAATTTTTAATAAATAAAATATTTAATTAACGATAAAAAAAAAAAAAAATGGAATTTATATGTATTTATTACTTGGAATTCCAAAGAAGCTAAACTTCTTTTGGTAGATATAACTTCTTGAGAAGCTGAACGTCTCAAAAGTTTTTTCTCCAACCTTTCACCACATCTTTCAACATCCGAATTTGTACTTTGTTGCAATCTATTATCATCATCTCTGTATTTAGACTTTGTCGAATGAAGGACTTCCGTCGATTTCGATAATTCCGATGAATTCTTATCGAGTTTTTTAAGATTTGAAACATTTTTCTTATTCGATTCCGCTCTTGTTTTAAACAATCTACCTTTTCTACAAGGTGGTATAGGATTGCATTCCTTACAATTTGGTTCCCAACCGTTTAAATCAGAGGATGAACTTTCCATTCCGCTCTAAATAAAATTTTTTTTTTTTTTTAATAAACGAGAGATGCTGTTTGTTTTTTTTTAAAAGTTCTTTAAGTGCTTTTTTTTTTTAAAAGGGAAAAACAAACAAAGTCTCCTGAATTAATTATAATAAATTTATTTTATACAACAACAACAACAACAACAACCATAGAAACGTTTGCTTCACACTATTTCACAGTAATTAAGGCAAAGAATCACATTTTAAAATATCTAGACCGAAAAATATGTACTCATGTGTTAAAGTTTCCAGAGCTGATACATTATCATTATTATTTAGCTAATTGAGGTTAAGAGAGACGTGTTACTATTATTATTATTATAACTTAAAATTATTTTTTATTCTTATGAATATTTCAAAGATTTTTACAATATTCGAGAAAAAAAGAAGGAAAAAGGAAAAAAAAAACTCACGCTTATTCCATTTTGTGGTACAGGAGGAGCTTTATATTTTTTCCTAGACCTGGATATTCTATGTCTCACAGCATGATCGCTAAATTGATCTCCAGATGATTTTTTAAGATGAAATCTAAGGTCAGGCTCACTTCCGAATCGTGTTTTCTCTAAAGAGATTTCTTCTAAGTTAGGAGGTCGATGAGCTGAACTGCTACGAGGTCTATAAGCTCTTTCTTCTTGTGCAAGACACTAAAACATAACAACAAAATAAATAAATAAATAAATTTTATTTTAAATAATAATGTAATCAATCCAAAAAAAAAAAAAAAAATGGGGAAAAAGTAGTTTGTTTTTTTTTTTTTTTCCCAGGAAACAATTAATGTTTCGATTATGTTAATATGTAACTTAAACTTAAAACTTAGACAAAATATAATAATAATAATAATAATAATAATAATAATAATAATAATAATTAAGTCGTTTATTTATGAAATTTATTTGTTTTTTAAAGGAAAGTTGTTTCGAAACACGACAAATGACACGTTTTATTTTTTTTTTTAACGCCTTTTTAACTTTTTTTTTTTTTGCATTCTAATAAAAAATTTTTTTTTTTTTCACTGTGTATTATTAGAAACACCTTTGTATTATCATTATTATTATTATTATTACTATTTTTCCCTATTGTTTTTTAACTATTAATTTCTTTTTTTTATTTTATTTCAAGGTTATTTTAACGTTTTTTTTTTTTTTACTATTTTAGCACAGTCTATACCTTAAATAAAAAAAAAAATTTTAATAACAAAACAAAAAATTGTTTGTTTGTTTGTTTGTTTATTAATGCAATATACATAATAATGAATAAAAAAATAATTAAATCAAATTTATTTCACGACAAAATATTTTGGATTTAAATAATTTAAACAATACGTAAGAATAAATTTTTTTTTTTTTTTCATTAGTGAAAAATTATTTCTTACACAATCGCCATCTTTATAGCACGAAAAAAAATTTTTTTTTTTTTTTTTTTTGGTTGGTTGGTATTAAAATCTTACGAAAATTTAAATAAATTTTATTTTATTTATTGATAATGCATTTTTTTAATTGATGAGAGAAAGAGAGAGAGTAATAATTACTATTAATTTTTTCTCATTATTTATTATTAGTTACATAATTTCATTTCATTGTTTATTAATTATTATATTTACTTATTGAAAAAAAAAACGGAAGGTAAAATTAATGGTCCATAAATTTTATTATTATTAACAAATAAAAATTATGTATGTGTAGTAAAAGCAATTTTTTTATTATTTAAATTTTTCTTTTTCTTTTTAATGCAATAAAAAAAAAAAAAAAATTAATTTAATTTGTTTTGAAAAAACCGGTCGATTTTATTAGAAAAATTTTGTAATATTTTTAAATTTTCGTAACGTTTTCCCCAACAGATAATAATAATAATAATAATTATTTTTACCGTTCGTGATGTATGTACCATCTAGTAAATGAATTACTCGACCGTACCTTTCGGATACTTATTAAAATCATTCTCTGTGGCGATATAATTAATTAAACATCGATATAACGGCTCAAATCGACGTTTTATCGTCCATTTTAAAAACGGTTTTTTTTTTTTTTAAACAAAAATTATAATTGAATTTTTTAAAAAAAAAAAAAACGTACGTGTTTTCTCGCGCTGAGCGTTCCTCCATTTTGCAAAATGGCTCCGTTATCTGTTGTTCTCAAGCGCAACGGAGGTATTCTTTCGGGTAATACTTTCACCTGAGGACCCTGTACGTGTCTCGTACGTGGATATGAATGAGTCCACTGATGAGGTAAAATGTGATGTTGTTGTTGTTGAGAATGCGTATTTCCCATTTTTACTTATTTCGACCGCCATTCGCGTTTACATCCTGCAAACCAAAAAAAAGAAAAAAAAATCATTTTCATTTCCTCTTTTTCCCTACCTCCCTTCTTCCCCCCCTCCCTCCTTTTTGTAAATAATCAAGTTTAAAAAAATCGACATAATCGATCGATATAATTTCCTAGAAAAGAAAGTTCATATATATATATATATATATATGCGTACACACGAGAAACCTCTCAATAAAAACTAAATAAACATTTCCCCGTTGAAAAAAAAAAAGAGTCAAAGGTGGATTTAAAAAAAAAAAGGTATTAAGTAAAGTGAGAATTTAAACAATCGCGCATATATATATGTAAACATAATAATAATAATAATAATAATAATAATAATAATAGAAGAAGAAGTATAAGAGAAAGTAAAAAATTTTTTTTCAATAGAGAAATCATTTTAAAAAGAACGCAATAATAAATTAGTATGTGTGTGTGTGTGTGTGGCATTTACAGGTGAATCCTTTTGAATCATCGCGTTAATAGTTTTTTTTTTTTTTTTTATTTCCTATTCGTACATGTAATCAGGTTGATATTATCGCCCGCAGAGATTCAGTTAGAAAGTTAATAATAATAATAATAATAATAAAAGATGTTAAGTTAAAAAATTTTTTTATTTACTAATACGAAAAAAAAAGGGCAAATCAATAAAGTTGAATAAACTAATATGATGAATAGCAAATATTAATTTTGTCACGTGTTTACTTATTCAATTTATACGCACGTGCAAGCACGCACACGCATTAAAAAAAATTAAATTTTTGTTTTTCTGTAAAAAATATACACGGTGGGAGAAAGTAACAAATTTAATTTACTTAAAAAATTAAAAAAAAATTTTTTTTTGTAAATAGAACGTGAAAAACTAAAAAAAAATTTTACGTTTGCATGAATGAATTTATTATCCTTAATAAAAATTATGTTCAGACTATTAAATTTAGTTTTTTTTTAAAAACTATTATTAAATAACTACTACTACTACCATACAACAAAAACAAAGTTTTATTAATAATAATGATAAAATTTAAGTTTATACGACAAAAGTAATAATAATAATAAAATAATTAAATAAATCAAGTTTAGGTGAAATTTAAAAATAAAAAAAACCCGAATATTTCGACTCGAGATGGGAGAAAAAAAGAGAGAGAGAGAGATGGAGAAAGAAATTGCTGGCGGCCATATTTAATGTCTTAGTCTCAATTAAAGTATTTTTTTTTTTTTTTCAATGAACGTGAAGCATGCTGCCATCAATGGCATGAAACTATTGCTTGGCATAACGGTAGATTATTCGGGAGGCATTTTAACCATTTCTTACTTGAATTCTATCTCTCCTCTCTCTCTCTCTCTCTCTCTCTCTCTCTCTCTCTCTCTCTCGTAATTTTTTCTTTTTTGTTTTACATAAAAAAAAATTATTTTTATAAAATCCATTAAAAATAAATTTAATAAATTATTTAATAATTAATAATAAAGTTTTTCGTTCGAATTTTATAATTTAATAATAATAATAATAATTTTATCCTTAATAGCGAAAATTTTTCTTTTTTTTGTCATTATTATTATTATTATTATTATTATTATTATTCGTAACAATAATCATCATCATTTTTTTTTTTTTTTAAATGTTTCATAATCGAAAATATTAATGATGATTATTTTTATTACGATAGTCATAATAATAATAATAGTAATAATAAAATCCGGAAATGAAATTTTATTCTCTACAAACACAAATCGTTTCCAACAACCAAAGTTTTTATCATTGTTACATAACATTTTTACCGCCATTTTAATTATTTAAAAAATCGTTTGTACGAATTTAAACAAACGCACTCTCTTTGGATTGGTCAAAAAAAAATTAACCGTACAACGAGCCGACGAAAATATCGAACGATCCAAAAATAATATTAATAATAATAATTTTCTTATCATTTTCCGGTAATATTTTATTTAAAAATATCCACGGGTGAATGACCTTTGAAAGAAATATTACGTAACGTTCGAAAATATTTAAAAACTGAATTGATAAGAAGAAGAAGATGACAAAAACATTTTCCACACGTTTTACGAGGAATTTAAATACTCGAGTTTGTAAACAAACAATCACGTGACGTAATAATTGATATACCTTAAATAATAATTAAATATTTAAATTATTTATTTATCGACTTTAATGAAAACGTCGTTTAAAATTGGTTATCAGTGACATAATCATTATTATTATTATCAATATTTAATATATCAATTAACACATGGAGTGTAAAAGAAGAAAATTTTTTTAGTTTTCCCGAATCAAAAAATGTGCGTTTCTGATGAAAAACGCGACTCCGTCAATTTTTTAAAATAATAATAATAATTTAAATTTATTAACGGTTTATTACCTAAACAATTTTATTATTATTTTATCTTAAATAAATAAATAAATACCAGAGAGCGATAACTTTTGACAAATAATTTTTTGTCGTCGTCATTTTTAAGGTTTATAATTGTTCTAACGGTTTTTCCATCGAGTTTAATTTTTTTTTTTTTTTTTTTTTTACGTTTGTTTATTTATTTACCTCGAAATTGTTATCACGACCCTCACGGTTGTTACCTATCGTCGGTAGATTTATATTAAAATAAAATTTATTATTATTATTATTATTATCCGACATTGATAAGTTAGCAATCCTTCTTCTCACGGTGTTTGTTTGTGTTTCGAAAATGGTTTTCTCAAGAAAAAAAAATTTAAAAAATTAAAAAACCGGAACATAATAGTTAAAAATAAAGACAGATATAATAAAACAACATTTTTTTTATGTTTTGATGATGAGGCCATTGTTCTAACGGGTCAATTTTTCGTCTCTTTGTAATTTGAAAATTTTTATTTTATTTTTTTTTTTTTCCACTCGATTGAAATAAATATGGCTACGATTTGTAATTTTATGGTTAAATCATTTATTCGGAACCGTATCCAAATTCGTTCCCCCCCCCCCTTCCCACCAGTATATAAAACACAAATTTTTTATTTTTATCAAACGAATAAAAAATAACCGTTAGAAATTAACACGTTTTTATACAAAAACAAATAATAATAATAATTTTTTTCGATTACGCGATACGATCAAAAGAACGAACGAACGAACGAAAAAATTTCTCATTATTATTATTATTATTATTATCAACGAAAAAAAAAAAAGAAATTGTAACGGATAATAATTCGATATTATTCGAACGGTAAAAAAAAAAATTCTAAAGTGAGATTTTTTTTTTTTTGAAAAAATTATACAAAATTGCATCACGAAACATTTGTAAAAAGTAAACAACAACAACAACACAATGTTTTTTTTTTTTTTTTGTTAATTAAAGTTTATATATATTTGTTACGCAACGTAGTATATCGTGTGTAACATTCGATATAAAAAAAAAAAAAAAACTCACCGGAAACATTTTGTGCACATACACACGCACACGCACTCACGCACGCACACACACACATAATGTTTTTTTATTGACATTACATAAGAACACGGTCGAATTGTGACGAGGTTGCAAGTTTCGAAGGTAAATTTTAAAACGCCTAAAATTCTTTTTTTTTTTACCTGTCATGAATAATAATAATAATAATATTACGAATACTGAATGTTTAATATTTAAAATAATTATTTGTATTTAATAGAGAGAGAGAGAGAGAGAGAAAAGAAGAAAAAAAAGGAATTATATCATCGGTATTAATTTTGTATGCTTATGTGTATGTATAGTCGCCATTTTGAATATTTTTTATAAATTTTTTTAATTACATTCAAATGAATATTTTCACCGTGTGTAAATTTTTTTTTTTTTTTTTCAATTGTTGTTGTTGTTATTATTATTATTCTCTAGATTTTTTTTTTTTTTTATAACTTTCAAAATTGTTGAAAGATGTAATTTAAATTAGTTCCACTGTGAACCTTAACAGTATCTCCGCCATTTTTGTTTTTAAAAAAAAAAACTTTCTATTCGCATATTTCGAAATTCTATCGAAACTATTTTTTTTATTTTATTTTAATTTAATTTATTTTTTATTTATTATTATTTTCTATATTTTTGATTTATGCGAAATAATAATAATAATAATAATAATAATAAAACAAAAAATCCGTTTAAAAAAATCAATAAAAATCAAATCGAAAATCAATAAAATTTTTTTTTTAATAATAATTTTTCGTCAACGGTCCGATTCGTTCGTTATAAAATTCTCGAATCGATTAATCGAAATTTTTATCGAATTTAAAATCGTCGTGTAATTAGAATATATGTATTCTCGATTTAATTAAATCGAATAATTCTTTTGTAATTTAATTTGATTTTTTCTTTTATTTTAAGTATTATCTGATTGTTGTTTCTTTTGTTGTTACGTTAATAAATTTTTTAAAAAAACGCAAGGAAGGACGCGACGTTGCGTAATTTCACCGCCTTATTGCAAATGTTTATTTATTCTATGGTTTACAGGTGCGTAACTGACGAAATGAAAATTAATTTGAAATTTTTATTATTATGCCATCGTGTAAAAATTTTTTTATATCGATGATATTGTCATTGACAAAAATTATTTTATTACTTTTAATAAGTAATAATAAATTATTAATTAATAAAATTACGTAATATTTATTTATTATATGGAATGTTTTGCATAATAAAAAAAAAAAATCAACGTGACGATTTTCTTTTTTTTTGTAAACGAAAAGTTTTTCATACGATCGATATGACGTTTTCTATTTTTTTTAAAAAAATTAATAATAATAATAATAATAAATTTTTTAATATTTATGTTGGCGCCGTGAAACGTAAGTCTGAGTGCCAACAATTTTTTTCTTTTTTTTTCTTTTCTAAATTGATCGTTCATAAAAAAAAAAAAAAGTCATTTTCTTTTTAAATTTATTTCAGATTCTCACGTTTGAAAAAAAAATTTTTTTTCTTTTTTTTTCTTTTTTAGTTTTTTTTTTAAACTC